CCTCTGGCCAGATACTGTGCGAAGAATTACAAAATAAATCACAGACGAGTGGAGAAGACAGGAAAGTAAATACACTCTAAAACAATAAGGGAGTACAGTGACAGAAAAACGCAGATTATTAAGGGAACTCAACGAAAGTCTAGTAAACCCAGAAAGGGTTAGGGCTTATGGGAGGTTTCACGGAGTGGGTACCTGGAAAGGGGAGGTAAGGCAGCTCAAATGACACGTTCAATGGAGGGAAGAGGATTCAACAATTATACAATTCGCTGAGTCGGGGCTATCACTGCGAAAGAACTTGGCTTCCGATCCGCGCTCAAGGCTGGGAGCTATGGAGGCCGGATGTGATTGGCAGAGACCTCTGCTCAGGTCTGCGTCAAGTCTTACTTCGCTCCCATCCCATCCTGCGCCAAATGGGCGCAGTATCCCAACCATTCCACTCGGCTAGGAGGGGATCCTAAGCCTCAAGGTCCGCATCTCCCGCTGGAGGGACTGAGCAGCCCCACTGGTGTCCCAGAATAGATCTTGTTCCCCAGAGGTTGTCAGGTTACCGCAATTCGGCGCAAGCAAGGCGGCCAAAGAGAGGGCGCTCATTGGCTGCCACAGCCCCAGTCCGAGAGGCGGAGGAAGGTTGATTCGTCACAGGCTGTCTGCGCTGGCCACTCCTCTCTCCTCTCCAGGTTCTAATTAGGTCAGTGGCCCTACAGCCTCTTGGGTAGTTTGGAAGTGCGTCGCGGAGCCGGCCCTGGAAATATGGCGTCAACTTCAGGTTTTGATGTGAGGGAGCCGAGGGCCCAGCCAAACCCTGCGGGGGGCAATTCCTGGGTACCCTTCCCACATTTTCGGTCTTTGGGCGGCGCCGTGGTAACCCCAGAGCCTAGTTGCGTGCCCACCGGGGACAAGTGTCTTTGCATTAGGACATGAAAGGGGACTGGAAAGTGCCGTGCAGTTTCAGGATAGTTTCTGGTTAATTACATTTTCATGGGTTTTCGCAGAGTCTGGGGGCAATTTGTGTCCTTCAGAGACCAGGGACCAGGGCCCAAGCTACGGCAGGGGAGACGCGGCCAAGGCTGTGGCTTCTTGTTCGAGCTCCGTTCGCGTCCGTTCCCGCCTTGCGCCTGTCCCTCTGTCAGCCCAGGTCCTTGAATGAGACAGTGCTCGCCCTTGAAAAAGCAGTTCTAGGTCACTCGGCCTGCTTTTCCAGCATTCCGGGCCCCAGCTCGCCTTCTGCCATCCATGTTGACAGCACCAGTTCTACGACGAAGCGAGTGATTCCTCTTGCCTGGAATTTCACTCGTCCCTGGTATCGAACCCTCTGCCCCAATTTTCTACCTTACAACTCCAGCGTATTTTTAACGGCTCAGCCAATATCACCTCCTTGGTATAAAGCCTGCGCCGTGCTAGCTTAGGAACAGGAGCTATGCCGTTTTATTATTTTTCTTTATTTTAATTTTGCTTTTATTTTTCATTTTTTAGAGAGGTGGGGTCTCGCTGTGTCGCCCAGGCTAGAGTGCAGTGGCGGGATCATGGCTTACTGCAGGCTGGGGTCAAGCAGTCCTCCCGCCTCAGCCTATGGGATTATAGGCGCAGGCCTCTATGCCATTGTAAATGCTGCGGGTTTTGAGTATTTGACCTCTGTGAGCCTCAGTTTTTGCATCTTAGCATTGAGATAATACTAATACCTCATAAGGTTATGTGAGGATTAAATGGAAAGCTCTTACAACAAGTGCTTAGTAAGTATGTTACCATATGTGCTTCCAAAGTACTTTGGTGTAGGCCTTTTATAACTCTTGCCCTTTCTATTACCATTATTTGTTCTTGTCTGCCCTACTAGACTGAGATTCTCAAAAGCTGGAACTGTCTTGTTTATAATCTCAGCATCTATCAGTGCTGGGCAAATGTAAAGCTAAGAAATGATTTCTTAGAAAACTTTTTAAAAGCAGCCTTTCTTCTCCTTTCCCTTTCTTCCTTTCCTTCACTTTTTCCTCTTTGACATAGGAATTTCCTTTTTTTTTTTTTTTTTTTTTTTTGAGACGGAGTCTTGCTCTGTAGCCCGGGCTGGACTGCAGTGGCCGGATCTCAGCTCACTGCAAGCTCCGCCTCCCGGGTTTACGCCATTCTCCTGCCTCAGCCTCCCAAGTAGCTGGGACTACAGGCGCCCGCCACCTCACCTGGCTAGTTTTTTGTATTTTTAGTAGAGACGGGGTTTCACCGTGTTAGCCAGGATGGTCTCGATCTCCTGACCTCGTGATCCGCCCGTCTCGGCCTCCCAAAGTGCTGGGATTACAGGCTTGAGCCACCGCGCCCGGCCAGGAATTTTCAAACCTACAGAAGAAGCCGAGACCCTAGGGGGAAAGATTGGGACCTTTTGTTGTTTTTCTCCATGGTGACCAAAAGAGCCTTAACATTCACCCCAGTCTGACAACTTTAGACAGGTTTCTTCTGGACGTTAGGCCCATGACCTCCCCTTTCTTTGAGTGTTAACTTTAGAAAACTTGTGATTGCAAATTCTTCTCTGCTCCTTTGAAATGTATATAAATCTCCTTAGAAGCTTATGCCAGTTTTACGACCCAGGGAATGTCTTTCTCAAGGACCTGGGAGCCATCCCTTTGAAATGTAATTATCAAGGACGATAGCACCCCTATCTCTCAGTCTCTGTGGGAGGGTGGGAGCCTAACCTGTGGGTGCCTTGTTTGGAATTGTAAAACTACAGCTTGTTTTGAAGATACAAGAAAGTTTCCTTTTCCTTTGCAATTAGCAAACATAGATGTCACGTGATTCCCCCCACAGCAGCTCTTGAAAACTTCCCAGACCCTTGTTTCAGTAGCATTGAGTTTAATCTCATATTGCAGTCTTTCTTGCCTCATGTTAAGGTCTTTCTTGCCTGTTTAACTTTGATGCAAATTTTGACAATGGAAATTTTAGGTTCTGCATTTATTGTTTCTTCCCAATTACAGTGATTTCTCCTTTCTCCTTGTTAAGAAGAGCTTCTCACATCCTCTGATTTCTGGAGAAATCAATTTGGACTCAAAAGATTGGAGTTTTGTGGAGTGAAGCTACTGTTTTTGTTTTGCTTTGTTTTTTTGTTTTGTTTTGTTTTGTTTTGAGATGGAGTCGCACTCTCTCACCCAGGCTGGAGTGCAGTGGTGGAATCACGGCTCACTGCAGCTTCCACCTCCTGGGTTCAAGTGATCCTCCCGCCTCAGCCTTTCAAGTAGCTGGAATTACAAGCATGCGCCACCACGCCCAGCTAGTTTTTGTATTATTATTAGAGATGGGGTTTCACCATGTTGACCAGGCTGGTCTTGAACTCCTGGCCTCAAGTAATCTGCCCACCTTGGCCTTCTACAGTGCTGGAATTACAGGCATGAGCCACCACGCCCTGCCAGAAGCTACTGTTTTAAGTCATCATTGCAAAGGGTAATGTGTGATGTGCATGAGTGGAAAGGGCAGTACATCTATTTGAGAGCATCCCAAATGAGGTCCATTCATATTATGGAAGTGCACTGGGAAATAAAGAACAGGACTACCCCTTTGTTTATTTATTATGAAGAGGTAAGAGAAAAATGCAATTTTCAAAGAAAGAGAACTGCTGAGAATGTAGTACCTTCTCAAAGAAAGCTATATTTGGTTAAGGTGAGAAGCTAGAGGAAGCCACAGAGGGCAGGGTTACAAATCAAAAGACTTCTGCAATGGTGGAGGTAGTATCCAGAAGGGTTCCTTAAAATACAGGGATCTGTGTAAGATGAGGAGGTAAGGTGGAGTAGGATTGAGGTGGAATGAATTGAAAGATGGAAACGAAAAAGGAAGGCAGTAGGGGAAGAGGGGAGTTAATTTGGGGTATGGATAACAGGGAAGGAAATAGGTAACCTAAGAAGCTTGGTAGAGGCACTTACCACTTGCATGGGAAGGGAAATATGCAGACGGTCCTGTTGCTAAAGGAAGCTAGAGGATTTAGGAGAAGGGGTTTGGCACACTGGCCTGTGTCACCTATCCCTCCCTGACAACACACTACACAGAAAAATTGAGTGCACTGTTGCCATTTAGTATCATTCTCCCCCCACGACTGGTGGAAGCTAAGAAGATGAAGTTCAGGGTGCTGATCTTTTATTTTTCTCTGACTTTTCTTATGTGAATACTTATCCCTAGTTTCTTTTTTCTTCCCCTCCCTCCTTTGCTCCCTTCCTCCCTTCCTTTCTTCCTTCCTTCCTTTTTTTTTTTCTTTTTAAATGAGACAGGGTCTTGCTGTGTTACTCAGGCTGGAGTGCAGCAGTGCTATCATTGCTCACACAGCCTTAACTTCCCAGGCCCAGGCAATCCTCCCACCTCAGCCTCCTCAGTGGCTGGGACTACAGGCATGTGCCACAATGCCCAGTTATTTTTAAAAGTTTCTGTAGAGATGGGTTTCCCTATGTTACCCAGGCAGGTCTCAAACTCCCTCCTCAGCCTCCCAAAGTGCTGAGATTACAATCATGAGCCACTGCACCCAGCCATTTTCTTCTTGCTTCTTTACCTACTTTGCATAGGAATTGGGTAGATGAGGGTAGACCCAGGAAGTGAGAGTGGAATTTAAGAAAGAAAAACAGTAAAATGAAAAGCTGAAAAATAAAAAAGTTTACTTCTAAATGTATGTACGCAACTCAGGTTGGGGGATTAGCATGTAAATACAAATAAAACGGAGTTAAGTACGCTTATTTATTGAATCCTGTTGTGAGAACTTAAGAGGAAAAGAAACTAAGGAAAATCTGAAATTTTCCTCTTGGACCTGAGGAAGGTCCAAGAAAAAACAACGTGGAAGTGAAGTCAGAGAGATAACATCAGGACATTGGACATCAGGAGGAACTTTCAGGTCTAATTCTAGTGCCAAGGAAGCCATGAACCAAGGAAGCCATGCTCTTTCCTGGAGCCTTTCAGCATAGGAGAGTTACTCCTCTGCCAGCGCTGGGGAAGGGGTAACTTTCCCATACCCCAGGTGAAGGAGCTTTCCTTTCAGGGCCTTCCTGCTAGACGGACTGTGCCGGGGCCAGCCTGGTTCTCCCAAGTGCCCTCACCATGGCCTCCTTCATTTCCTTGTAATGATGGGGTTAATGATGGTGTACAGGAGGGAGAAAGGTTTGTCTTTGTCAGGCCCTTGTGTGCTGTGGGAGTTCATGTAAGAGAACATAGCTGAGGTGTAGAGAAAGATGACCACAGTCAGGTGAGAGGCACAAGTAGATAAAGTCTTCCCCCGACCTGAGGAGGAGGCTCTGCTGAGGATGGTGGCAAGGATGCACACATAGGAAGTGACAATGAGCACCATGGGGCTGAGCAGCACCACGATGGCATCAGCAAAGATTGCCCTCAGACTAAACTGAGGGTCCCCACAAGAGAGGCCGATCACCATGGGGGCCTCACAGAAGAAGTTTTCTATGTGGTTGTCTCTGCAGGAGGGCTCTCGGAATGAAACATACTCAAGAAAGATGCCATTGATCAGTCCAAAGAACCAGGCAGTTCCCACAAGCCTGAGACAGACCTTCTGGCTTATGATCTGGACATAGCTAAGTGGGTAGCAGATAGCAATGCAACGGTCATAGGCCATAAAAGCCGAGAGGATGCACTCATCCACACCAGCACAAAAGACAAAGTACATCTGGGTCATGCAAGATACAAAGGAGACAGCGTGGTTCCTGACCACGAGGTAAATCAACACCTGTGGGATGGTAGTGGTGGTGAAGCAGACATCCAGGAGAGACAGGTGGCTGAGGAAGAAGTACATGGGGCTGTTGAGCTTGGGGTCTGTTCAGGTGATAAAGATGTTGAGGCCATTCATGGCCATGGTGAGACTGTAGAGGGCCAAGAAGAGGGCAAAGAGCAATGCTCGTGTGGAAGTGGAGCTCTGCTGAAAGCCCACGAGGATAAATTCTGTCACTGTGCTGCCATTCCTTAGCATCTGGGGCCTGCTTGAGGAGGGAAGATGGGAAAATCACAAGGATATAGCTGTGGGGTAACAGAAGGTACCAACTTGGTCCGAGAAGCTCAATTATAAAACAGGATAGTTGAATGGTGGTCATCCCTTTGGAACTTAGTAAACTCTAGTAATTTGGCAGTGTTATGGGGTGGTAAAAATGCCAGGGTCACCACAGGCTGCATACATAGAATCATAATATCAAAACATGAAGGAAGTGCTGGTTGTAATATGCTTTACTCTGGTTTGATCAGGCATCAAGTGAAGTATTGCATCTGCTCCAGAACCCTCAATATTGAAGGATTAGCCACTAACCAGGATGTGTTCAGAGGTGAAAAAATAAGATAATTGGGTCTGGGACCCATGCCAAATGAGGAAAAGTTTTAGGAATTGAAGACTGGAGTGTGTGAGGGAAAGGGATGGTGGCTATCAGCTTATAGAAGATTGTATTTGGGAAGTACTTGAGATATTTGAAGGTGTATTTTTCTAGAAGAAAAAAATGCTGAATCTCTGTGTGCCTAATTTAAAATGATGAATGGGTTGAAGTTTCAGGGAAAATAAAAACATTCTAATCCTCAGGATTGTCCCTCAGCTAACAGTGATTTGCACCTTTTTTGGAGACATGTCAAGCTCTTCCCAGTCACCCACCTATTTCCAGACTCACTCGCCCAGCAGTTGCTGCTGCTACCGCAGCCACCCATGCTGTGCGTGCTGGAGCTGGGGACTGGGTGGGCGCTCATGCATGCCTTCCTAACAGGAGACAGTTTTCCTCCTGGGGTTGGAATTTACGGTTACACACAATTAGGTGGAAAGGATCCAACTATCCTTGTGTGAAAAGGGAAGCTATGAGCAGGGCATATATTTAACCTTTCTGGAATGGACCTTCAGAGAACTTTCAACTGTCCCTTTGTCTCTGGCAATAAATCTTGTTCTTTTTCCATTTTCAAAGAATGAGCAGTCACAATTCTTATGCTCTTATCTCTCTATTGTAACTTTTAGGAAGTTGTTATGTTCATATTAAGTCTGTCTTGTGCTTTTCATCTTGTTTTGGAGTTAGGATGTATCAGATCCCTTCCCTTCAGATGCTTATACTTTTTTTTTTTTTTTTACCTTAATTATAGAGACAGGCGCTCACTATGTTGCCTATGCTGGTCTTGAACTTGTGGCTTTAAGTGATTCTCCTGCCTTGGCCTCCCAAAGTGCTGGGATTACAAGTGTGAGCCACTGCACCCAGCCTCCTCACCTTCAGATGCTTATAGATGATAACTATATTCCTGCTTAACTTTCAGTTCTGGGAACCATTTCTCTTCATTTTCTCCTCTCCTACTCCCTTTTCTATACACTCTCACTCTACCCTCTGTTAGTCTTTTTTCCCTTTTCAATCTACTTCTAATCCTCATTCTTCTCCCTCTCCTTTTCCCATTTGTGGTGATGGTTGCCTGCCATTTATCTTACTCTGGTCAAACTCCCCTGTCTTCTCCATGTCTCTCAATCTCACATATTCTCGATCTGGATTTAGAGCTACCTACCCTCTCACTGCCACTCCTTGCAACTCTAGATTCCCTCCAGTTGTGATCTGATGCTAGGTCAAGGTAGTGACTGGGCAGTAGGCTACTCCCATCATCTTTACTTTGGGATACTTTTCTTGTGCCTAGGACTTCTCTTGGGGGCCCAGAAAAGGAAGGGAAGGGCAGAGAGCACTGTTTAAGATGTTTCTTGGAAGCCTGTGCTCAGTGGACATGTTGGGGCTTAGGTCACAGTCTGGGCAAAACAAGTCAGTGAGCTACACTCCAGAGAAGCCTGGGATTTGTCTAAGAAGAAACTGAGATTTGACCTGAGGAATTACTAGGCCCTACTGGAGGATAAATGCTTACCTGTGGTTTATTGTGCCAGAAAGAATTCTGTGATACCCAGCATTTAGCACCTTGTTAGCTACCATTAGAGGTTAATCGGTGAAGGATTTGTCTAAATAAATGGGACAATATCATGGAAATCACATCCTACCTCATTCTGTTTCTTGGCTGATAATGATGTTTGTCACTGAATCAAGTAATGAGTAACAGAAAACATCTCATAGTGTTTGAAGAGAAGCTGGTCCAGGTAGGATCATCTGACCTGGCCGGCCACTCTGGAAGACAAGGTGTGTCTGAGGACTTAGTTCTTTTATACTGTTAGAGATGAATGTCTACTTAAATGACATTGATAAGTTGCATGTGTATACACTTTATAGTATAGGCGTGAAAACTTACATGCCCCTTGAAGGAGTGAAAGATGTGCCATCTCCAAATATGCCAGACTGGTATATTATTATTATTTTGAGATGCAGTCTTGCTCTGTCATCCAGGCTGGAGTGCAATGGCATGATCTCGGCTCACTGCAACCTCTGCCTCCTGGGTTCAAGCAATTCTCCCGCCTCAGCCTCCCAAGTAGCTGGGATTACAGGTGTGTGCCACCGTGCCCAGCTAATTTTTTGCATCTTTAGTAGAGACGGGGTTTCACCCTGTTGGCCAGGCTTTCTCGAACTCCTGACCTCGTGATCTGCCTGCCTTGGCCTCCCAAATATTGATTATTTTGAGTTAAACACATTGAAAGCCAGGTGTGGTGGCTCACACCTGTAATCCCAGCACTCTGGGAGGCCGAGGCAGGCAGATCACCTGAGGTCGGGAGTTCGAGACCAGCCTGACCAACACGGAGAAACCCCGTCTCTACTAAAAATTAGCTGGGTGTAGTGGTGCATGCCTGTAATCCCAGCTACTTAGGAGGCTGAGGCAGGAGAATCGCTTGAACCCAGGAGGTGGAGGTTGTGGTGAGCTGAGATCGCGCTACTGCACTCCAGCCTGGATGACAGAGCGAGACTCCGTCTCAAAAAAAAAAAAAAAAAAAAAAAAAAAGGAAAAAGTTGTAGTCTCAGAGCTGACCTGTCTCTTACATCAAGCCATAAAGATTCCACTGTCAGGGGTACTTTCTTCATACCAGGGTGAAAAAATAGCCCTTATCACCAGAGACTTAAAGACTACAATAAACCTAAATAAACATACTGAACAAAGTAACCCCACCTTCCATCCGCTTCACACGCCCTCCCATATATCTCCTAGTGACTCTCCTAAAACATTTTACTGCCTCTAGCCAGATTTTCTTTGTCCTGTCATTTCTTCTCAAAATCATTGTTCTTTGTCTAAAACAATACAAAACACCTTGCTTTGACCACTCTCTTGTAAAGATCCTCATGTATATGTAAAACTAATATAATTTGTATACTTTTATTAATCTGCTTAGTGTCAATTTGGTTTCTAAATCCAGCTAAAGAGCCCACTAACCCTCCTAAGATCTAAAAGGGTTAAAGGTGATCTCTGACTCCATGACACCCCATATACCGTTTGCTAAAAATCTTATTCTGCCCCATCTTTTTCAGATGGTATATTTGGACCTTCTCAGATTTTAAAAATTCTGTCTCGGTGCTAATGAATTGAATTCTAGCACCTTGACTTGAAGATGACATTCCCCCCGTTAGTTGAAGAAATACCAGCAAGAAAATAAAAACAGTCATGTCTTTATTCCTGTAACAGCACATAAACATATGTCATTCTGTAACATAAAATTTGTCCTTGCACATATTATTATTTTTTGTCACCAGACTGGAGTGCAGTGGCATGATCTCGGCTCACTGCAACCTCCACCTCCCGGGTTCAAGTGATTCTCCTGCCTCAGCCTCCCGAGTAGCTGGGACTACAGGTGTGTGCAACCACGCCCAGCTAATTTTTGTATTTTTAGTAGAGACGGGGTTTCACCATGTTGGCCAGGATGGTCTTGATCTCTTGACCTTGTGATCTGCCCGCCTTGGCCTCCCGAAGTGCTGGGATTACAGGCGTGAGCCACCACACCATTTCTAACAAAGAATCGTTGAAGAATGGACTTCAGACATTGTTGCTAGGTCTTCTACAACAAATCTTGAACTCTAAAATGTAATTTTTATTGGTTGTCTTAATTCATGACCATAGTAATATTTAAAAAGATATCTCTGTTTTCTGAAAGATATACAGTATACACTTATGAAATTTCTTTGTTAAACTGGAAGAGGATCTTTTTTTTTTTTTTTAAATCACAAGTGCGTAGAGATAAAAAGTCAACCATGACTCCTTGGGTTTCCTATTTAAAGAGTTGAGGGTCTGTAATCTTTCTGAAATTAACAGTAGTTTACAAAGTAGCTCATGTACATAACAACATTTGAGTCTCCATTTTGTTATTGTATCTAAATGATGTGATTTAATCTCAGTGAAGATCCTCTGATAAGATATGTTGGACTATGTAGCTGAACACAGTGTGGCAAGGAGAAAAAAAGAGGGAATTAATTTTCAGCTGTGGATCTAGAGTGGTGTCATGTTTGATTTAATTAACCTATGGTTCTGACCCATATTAAAACCATCTGCAGGCAAAATCAAAATGGCCCAACAGTTCCAAGAGCCTCTCGAAACAGCGGTGATTGGTACTGGGGGAGCAGCGACATAGAATGGAATTAGAACTGTTTTAATTATGGCATTCCTGGTTAGGCATAGACTTCATCGGCTAAGAGAATAAAATGCTGGATACTGTTAGGGGTGTGGTAGAGTGAGAAATAACTTCTTCCATACTCCTAATGTCTCCTTCTTTTTGAAGGAAATTGTAATGACATAATACTCCTGACCTTTCTCTTCTCCACAGGAGGTAGAGTGGCTTACCTGATTGATGATTTTAGAAGGAGAAACTGAGTACATGTGTTCTATCCCTTTCTTCTCCCCTTCCTCTTGGGAGTGAGTGGACTTCTCCAGGGCAGGCTCTGCCCCTTGTTGGGAAGCCTCTGTTGTTGGTCAGTGCTGCCAATGACAGGGGAATGAGTATGTCTGTCTGTCTGACTCTGTGCTTCTGTATTAGGAAGTCCATGTCTGCTTATTAATAAAGGTGGTATTTTGACCTCCATCTGCAGACTCATTGTCTTATTTCTCAGTTGA